ATGACTTCCCTTTCTGCCATTTCTTATTGTAATTATCTTTGATTTCTTCTATTCCTTCTCTCTTGCTTTTTCCTTTCTTGCTCTCTCTAGTGACATCATACTTCTCTCTTTCCCCCTTTTCCTGTTTTTTAATGCCCATCTCTTTTCTTAAATCTACGCATTGTTCTCTTGTTTTTCTTACCCCCACCTTATAGACTGTCGTCTATCAGTTCACCTATATCTGCATTTTAAATCTCTTTAAATGTTCCATTGTCTTTTCTCTATTTTTAACTCTTATTGACTTTTATTTCTTCTCCCTCATCGGCATCTCCCTTCTCCTTTCTTTTCTTTATCCTTTCTGACATTGTGACGCCATAACGACTTATAGTCTTTTTTTCTCTCTTATTTCGTCTCATTCTGCTATTTTGTAGATATTCTCTTTGCTCTTTCACGCTGTTCATTTTCTGTTGTTGATTATCTCCCTTTTCCTTTTCCTTTTCTTCTTTCTCTTCTAATTATTTCCCTTTATTTTTTCTCTCTCTCCTTCATTCCTCTTTACATTCGTCTTCTATCTTTTATTTCTTTTCTCTCTATTTTTCTTCCGTATTCTCCCACATCTTCCTTTTCTTTTCTTTCACTTCATTTGCGTTCGAACCTCGTCTTTTTCTCTTCCTATTTAACGTTTATCCTTTCACCGGACATCTCTCATATTTATAACGCTTTCTCTCTCTCTCTCTCTCTCTCTCTCTCTCTCTCTCTCTCACTTTTTTTTTATATCGGTTCCTATTCCGTTCTAAATTTTTTTTCTTTCTTTATATTTTTCTCTCATTTCTTTTTTTTTTAAAAATCTCTCCTCTTTATTTTCCACAATGTTTCTCTCCTTTCATCTCTACGTTTCTTTACTCCTACTCTTCTTTATTCTTCATTTTTGTGCCTCCTACTTCTCTTCACATTTCTGTTTCTTTCTCTCTCCCTGTAGATTTTCATCTTTCTTTCCCCTTTCCTACTCTCTTTCTCTTATTAGGTTGCATCTCTCCTCATTCTTCTCTCACCCTCTTTTCTAAAATATTTGTCTGCTGCTTCTCTTCGTTTTGTGATATATTTCTTTCCTTCATTTCTTCTTTTTCTCTCCGGTTTCATTGTCTTCTCGCCGTTTATTCTGTTGTTTTTTCACATTCTCCTTTTATTCACCTTTTTTCCATTGTTATATTGTGATCAGTTTGTTTCATGGACAAATGTCATTTTTTTTTTACATGAGTTTTTTCTTTTTTCTTTTCCCACTCGATTGTCTCTCGCTTTTCCGCATTGCATTCCTCATTCTTTGCTGTTACTCTCTATTATTTCTTATTCCTTTCTTTTTCCAGGATTTTTGTATTCTTTTTGTATCTCCTCTCTCACTTTTTCATTTTTGGCGGTTTTTTCTTTTTTCTTTCTTTCTTTCTTTCTTTCTTTCTTTCTTTCTTTCTTTCTTCATATTTAATTTTTCTTTAATATTTTTCCTTTTTCCTTTCTTTTTCTTTCTTTCTTTCTTTCTTTCTTTTTTTCTTTCTTTCTTCACTTCGTTCTATTTACTTTTCTTCCTGTTTTCTTCTTTTCCTACTTAACTTCATTTTATTTTCTTTCCTTCCTTATTTTTCTCTATCTCTTTTTCTTTTTTCTATTTCGTGTTTTCTTCCTTATTTCGTCCTATTTATTTTTCTTCCCGTTTTCCTTCATGTCCTAATTAAATTCTTTCTTTCTTTTATTTCTCTGTTTCCTTCTTCACTTCGTCCTAATTACTTCTTCCCCCCCTCCTTTCCTTTTCCACTTCTTCTTTTCTTTCGTTGTTTCTTTTAGTTATTCTGTTTACTTCTCACTTTCTCCATCTATTTATATCGCTTTTCCTCTCCCTTTCTCTCTATCAACATTTTAAAATTCTTCATTCTTTTCTTTTTTGTTCTTTTTCACTCCAAGATCTCTTTTTACTCTTTCTATATTTCACCTATTTTCCTTCATGCTTTTTTTATTCCCTTTTCATTTTCTATTTCATATTTCCGATTCAGTCGACTTACTTTTTCACTATTTTTAACTTTTTCTCTTTCTTTTTTTTTCATTTATTTTTTCTTTCTTTTTCTTTGTCGCTTTATTTCATTTTCTTTTTCTATTTTCTTTCTTTTTTCTTTCTTTCTTTCTTACTACGTTTTCCAGGTCTTTTCTCTTTTATTTTTCAATCGCATTTTCATTCTTCTTCATTTAATTCTAATTCGTTGTTCCTAATTTCTTTCTTCCTGTTTTTTTTAATCTTTTAGCCATATCTGTATGAATTTATTTTTCTTTCCTTTTAATCTCTTTTTTGTACCATTTTAATTTTATGAACTTCCTTCCTTCCTTTCTTCCTTCCCCCTTCCTCCCTCCCTCCCTCCCTTTCTTTCTTATTATCTTTTTTTGAACCTCTTCTTTGTATTTTCCTTCAGCGTTTTTCTTCCTTTTATTTCTGCTGTTGTTTTCCCTTTTTTCCCTCTCTCTTTCTCCTCTTTCTTTTAATGTACTTTTAATCTCTCTTTCTTCCATTCGCTCTTTATTTATTTCTTCCTCTTTCTTTCTTTCTTTCTTTCTTTCTTCCTCCTTCTTTCTTTCCTTCTTTCTTATGTAATTGATCTTTCATGGATCCCTTCATTTTTCTATTTTCCTCCAACGTTTTACTTCATTTTGTTTCTCTCCTTGCCTTTCTCTAATTTCTCTCTCTATCTTTCTCTCTTCTTTTTCTTCTGTTCTTTTAATCTCTCTTTCTACAGATTACTCTTTATTTCTCCCTTTGTTCATTTTCCTGGGCACTTTCGTCTACTTCCTCCTATTCGCCTCCTTTCTTTCTCTACCATTTTTTTCATTTCGCTCGTTCCCCACTCCTTATAATTTCATCTCCCTCCCAACCCTTGTCTTCCTTACTATCCCTCCTCATCATTTCCGTCTTCTTCCTCCTCTTCTAGCCCCATTCTTCTCCATTCTCTCTCCCTAGCCTTTTCTCCATTTCTTTCTCACACTGTTACTTCTCTTCGACTTTCTTCCCGACCTTTTTGTCTCCCATTTCTTTATTTTATTTCTTTCCTTCTCCACTGCTGTTGTTTACGACATACATAATTATCACAATTCCACCGCCATCACGGCTATTTTCACTGCTGCTACGAGAAGGACGACGTCGACCCAGCTACAATTTCCAAATAATTCCAGCGATTCGCTCGTTTCACCTGTCTTACTTGTGGGCGTCTCTCTATGCTCTTCTGGCCGAGCGGTCGGCTTTCGAATCCAGAAAATTGTCGGTTTTCAGACGTTGAGCTTTTGACGAAATTTTTGTCATTGTTTGGTGTTCACAAAAAAATCGTCACACGTGTATGAAATTAAACATATTAAAGCATCACAGAAATATAATAAAAGATTAGATAAGGGAGAAGCAAATGATTTTGGATTTGGATTATTGTCATCTTGCTAATCTATCTATCTATCTATCTATCTATCTATCTATCTATCTACCTATCTATGCATACACACACACACATATTCATTTTCTTATTCGGTTTTTTATAATATTTGTCTTTCATTCCTCCTTTGGAACTTACTTTATTTTGGTTATCTTTTACTTTTTGGCTTCTACTTACGTCACATACCTCTCTCTATGTCTGTCTATCTGTCTGTCTGTCTGTCTCTCTCTCTCTCTCTCTATATATATATATATATATTAGATTCTTTATATATATATATATATATATATATATATATATATATATATATTTTGAACAATAAGAAAATAAAAAATTAAAAAATTAAAATCATTAGACACACTGGGTTGTAGATTAATATTCTTTCGTTTTTTATTATTATTATTCCATTTAGATTCCTCGACTAGTTTCGACCGAAATGGCCATCATCGGGAGGAGAAATATTTCTGCTTGCTGTTGGCAGTGAACTACAGAAATGAATGTCTTTTGTTGGAGAAAATGAACTTTTTGTCTGTAGTTTTCATTTGTTTTTTTATTTTTTAAACTTTTTCACATGAATCTTTTAACATTCCTTGTGTTGGTCAAACAGTCTCTCTTTTAGTTGAATTTATATATATATATATATATATATATATATATATATATATATATATATATATATATATATATATATATATATATATATCATACCTACAGACGATAATGGTATTCACATAAATACAGTATTCTCCGGCTTGTGTGTCTTTAAACTCGTCTCTTCAAAAAATGGTAAAGATTTGTAAGAAATATTTCGTCTCATTATTTATCATGTGAAACCCCAACCCTCAAATTGAGTGCGTTGCCACGGTTCTAAAACAGACTTCCCTAGTATACATCCTAAGCGCAGTTTTACATGTCTGGGACGGCTGCTGCTATTCTGCGAGGCATGAATCTTGCACCTGGTGCTTAAGAGGGTACATTCCAACTCAACACGCCGATGCACTGTTTTTTTTTTTAATACTGAGTACAAAATCAACTTTGACACCTCTTAAATTTTATGAGGCTTTCACTGATCATTGGAATGAAATGATTTTGAGCCCAATCTTAGTATTAAACACATCTCTTCAAAAAAACGGAAAAGATTTTGGAAAAGAAAATTGTATAGTTATTTATCATGTCAAACCCCAGCATTTACATTGAGTGCGTTACGACGGTGTAAAAGCCGACCTATCTTAATGAGACAAGAGTGTAACCCAAAGAAAATTTAAAAAAAAAAACCCAGAAAATTACTATTGAACATGAATCTAAACTTAATTCCTGTAGAAATGGTTCCATTAATGGTCCACCTAGAAAACTGAAATATGCGTTTGCGACCAAGATTGTAGACCCCCTGATAACTAACTTCATTTAATACTCTGCGAGAAATCATCGAAAAGTTCTTGAGTTGTGTGTAGACCTGCTGACACCATGCCTCAAGAAAATAATTTCAGTTGATCAATGTAAAACATTACCATAATGCCATTGATAACTAAAATGATTTTGTGGAATGTAGTGGTCAAGATGTGTTATAATGAAAATCTGTGCAGTTATATGCATCATGAACATAACATATATATTTTTCAAGCATTACACCCCAAGCAAGGCAGGATGCCACTAGCACGCAAGATATTTCAGAGTGGGAGAGAGTGTAAAGAGGCGTGATAGAGGAAAGGATGAAGAGAAAGGCAGAATAGGTCAGGGCATCCTGAGATGTCGATTGGCATGACATTTGAATAGTTGGAGATGATAGCAATCAGTAAAAAATGTAATCGGAAGGGAATTTCACAGAAGGGAGGTGCAAGACATGAAGCTATTGGAGTAGCAATCAGTGAAAAAAGTAATCGGAAGGAAGGCTAATAGAACGCTTAAATTCATGCAGTCTTGGAACTAGCGAAAGTAGCTCGTTGGAGCTGTTACCGTGAAAGTATTTGTAGAAAAAACAGAGGGAGGCGACGGCACGTCTGTGAGAGAGCAATGTAGACACGAAGACAGATCAGGACCAATCACATTGCATATTCGTCTATGGATTTTGTCGATGACCTTAAGGTGACCAGCTGGGCACCAGACCATATATGTCAGCAGTATTCCATGAAAGGGCGAATGGTTGATTTATGGATTTGGAGGATGGACTCGGGCGAGAAAAACTTTCTGGCGCGACACAGGCAACCATCTTTCCTTGCGTTGGATGAAGCTATTGATTCAATGTAATTGTTCCATCTCAGGTTAGCGGACAGTGTGAAACAAAGCAGTTGCAAAGAGGTGCTCCCGTGGAGTTGAGTATCAGACATTCAAATGGGAGGCAGAGATGGTTCCCTGTGGTGAGTAATAGAGAGCAGATTTGTTTTAGAGGCATTAAAGAAATCCAGCCAATTCCTGCCCCAGCCTACAAGCGATTTGATGACTTTGTCGAGACTAACGGCTTAGTTTTGTCAGCGATACCAAAAAATAAAATAAAAACTCTTCCACCGCCAAAATAGCAGAATAGACTACAGCAATCAATCCAAAATATTGGACGAATAAATAGCTTTATATTCCAAGTCCAAAACAAACTATTAAATAAGCGACCTAAACAAATTCCGCCCCCAATTTTGTTTTTATTGCATTAATAAAACATAGAAAACCGAAATCAGTTAATAAATATATAGAATAAAAATGAAAATAAAATTAATTTAAACCAAAAAAAAACCAAAAAAAAAAACCCGAATAAACAAGCCATTCCCGCCAAAATAACCGCCAGAATGGATTACCCACAATGCACCGCTGGCCCATATATATAAAAAGTCGAAAAAATCCAACACTAGCGATCTGAAGATTGCGTCTAGCATTAAACAGCATGTCGCCTCTGAGTGTTGACTTCTACGTTCACTTTTATATCTATCTATCTATCTATCTATCTATATATATATATATATATATATATATATATATATATTCTGTGTATTTAGGGCAACATATATTTTCTATCGATGGTGGAGGTGGTTACAACAGCAAAGAAATCCTATTTGACTGACCCATTAAAAAAAGAGAAAAGCCTTCCATAAAAAATAATCTTGTTTATTAGACAATAAATTACATCACTTAGCATCCACCATAATTTACCTCGATTTTCCGTT